GCGGATATTCATAGATAAGCATTGCCAAATTACAAACAGCTCTTCCTTCAGACTTCAGTGTCTTTGCTACTGATAGAAGGCACTGGCATCTCACAACTTGTTATAGGGTGAATAGGCTTTTGTGGGAGCTTGGCAGGGAGGAATCTATTCCAACTTGTGGTTAAGAGTGTGAAGGAAAAAAGAAGTGGTTCTGCAGTTAGCTACCTGCCTCATCTTCCATGCCTCGTCATCCTTGGAGTGTGGAACTTTATCGTAATGCAGGCACTCCCATAACTGCTTACTTCCTTAAAGCTGGCCATACAGATCTGACCTCTCTGAGTTGCAGCAATATTTTTTTTTTTTCCAAGGAAAAGGGGAAAAACATTTTTTGATGCATCCTTTCTTCTCTGTACAGAACAGAGCTATGTGCATAGCTCTGTGTCAGCTGAGGAGGGTGTGTGTGGTAGTGGGCTGATGTATGCCAGGCTGTGTGCTGTATGTTGTTAGGGGAGCGTTTGTTTTCTGCAGTATGGCGGTGGCAGTGTTGCTGGATGACTTCAGCTTTTTTTTCCGTAAAAACTGACTTGTAATTTGTAAGTGCCCCTGACACTTTGGAGCACTGCTGCAAAAGAGTCACTTAAACGTTTTAGGCAATGTATCGATCCTAAGAATAGGGGAAGAGAAAATATAATCTTTAACTTCATTGTTGCTAGCTCATGGATTTGGTCTCAAAAGCAAAACTGAAAGTGATTGCACCTTTTTCTTCTCATTGCTGTATCTGGTCTGCAGTATTTTTTTCCTCTCCCGTGTATGCAATATGGAGCAAAGGAATCAGGACAGAAGTCACTTCTAAGAAAAGAGATTTAACACAAGTAAAATGGAAGCTGAAACACAGTTACCTGGAACATCATGCAGAAAGCTGTGAAGTCTTATATATAAGATTTATGAATGAATAATAAGAATGTTATTTTCTCTTTATCAGAATTTCTGTGTTCAGACTATTTTAATATGTTGAGCTGCTATTCAGCTATGAGATTTATTAATTTACTTGTTAGTTGATAGCTAGCAAAAACCTTAACGATTAGAAACTATCAAAGACACGTGGAAGAGCTCCATCTCCATTGTTCTAATAGTACCTTGCAGAGCTCAATACTTGTTATCTGAAAGACAAAAGCCTTTCATTTGGAGAAGACCAGTCAGGTTTCAGGAGCAGCCCAGCAGGCCATCCCATCTAACATTGTCACATTGACAGCCTGAGCTGTTTTGCTCAGACACTTTTGTGGCAAAAGTACAGTAATGCCGCAGTAGGCACTACCTTACTTGTTTTTAATTCCATTAGCTGATGGCTTTGTGGTGCTTACACAAACTTTAGTGACTTCAGGGCATTAAACAGTCCTGACACTACCCAATCTCCATGTCATAAGCTTTTTGTCATCAGCTTGTTCTGCGTTTCACAGTTGGTAACAGCATGTATATTTCGATAAACTGATATGTGAGGAAATTTAGTTCTAATTTATAACAGGAACTGTGATCCACTTTCTCTGTTATTTTGTTTCTTACATAATTTCTTGCAGTCTTTTCTTCTGTAAATTGCAGACCTGAAACTATTAAATCCTTACTTAAAGAATCTTCACATAAAGGCATTACGGTCTACTTAAAATGGCCATTGTAATTCAAATCAGTGACAGTGTAAAAATGGTCTCATGGTGCTATAACTGAAAAGCTCTGGAATATGTTTTTGAAATGAGTTTTTTAGAGGAAAGGGAACGGTGGTTGTTTACAAGATAAAAATAGCTTTCTGGTTTTAAAAAGTAGGTCTTCTGGGGTGTATCAGGGGGTGATTTATTTTCTCTGTATTGTTTACTTGTACTGGTAACAAGGAAGGCAATAGCATCTAATAGCATGTACTGGATCTAATAGCATGTACCACTCTACAGTCAATCTTTGCCCTTGAGGGGAGAGAAGGCCTTACAGAGAGATCTCGACAGATGAGCGCTGGACAGTCTCCAATAGCATGAAGCTCAACAAGAGCAACTGCTGGGTTCTGCACCCAGGAAGGAGCGGCCCTGGCTGCAGGTCCGGTCTGGGGGATGAGAGGCTGGAGAGCAGCGCTCAGAAAGGAGGGAAGGGTCTGGAGGGCAAGGGGTGTGCAGGGCAGCTGAGGGCCCTGGGTGTGCTGGGCACAGGGCGGAGGAGCGGAGGGGAGCCTGATGGCGGCTGCAGCTCCTGACAGGGAGCGGAGGGCAGCGCTGAGCTCTGCTGTGTGACAGCGACAGGGCCGAGGGAACGGCATGGAGCTGCGCCAGGGGAGGGCCGGGGGTGGGGAAAGGCTGTGCACCAGAGGGCGGTGGGCACGGCTGGAGCGCCAGGAGTGTTTTGTCAGTGCTCTCAGATACAGCGTTTGAATTTGGGTGGTCCTGCATGGAGCCAGGAGTTGGTATCGACAGTTCACGTGGTTGCAGTCAATTTAGGCGTGCTCTGTGATTCTGTGCTTGGGATTGCTGTTGATCAATGCAAGCATGAGCTCGCTGTTTTTCTGTTAGCTACCTAAGTGGGTAATCACTTCTGGTATGCTAGCGCTCTGCTTTATGCTTTGACCCTCTGGCTTGGTTTGAATAAGCTCATGTTCTGTTCCCCTAGTGACCTTTTACAGTCAGCATAGTCTTGATTGAGGCCTTCTAGAATAATCTGAGCAGTGTTTTTTTTTTTTCTTTTATTTCTCTTAAATGGCAAATAATTCTAGATTTTTCTTACGTGGGTAAAGGAAAGTTTTCCTTAAATGCAGGAAAGTACTCCTTGAGGAAGGAACAGCTTGTATGTCTACATGAGCATTTGTCTCTTCCTGAGGCTGTAAGCCTTTTTCAGAAGTTTATGCTGTGTTTGCTTAAAACCTAGAAGTATACAAAGGAGTAACAGTGCTGAAACTTAGTTTTAAATCCATAGAAGGGAAGGTTGATTCAAAATGTTCTGTTGTATCAATAGAATTACTTCTATACAGACTGAGTACAAGCTGTGAATTCCCATTTGAAGTCTCTCAGTTGCATTGTGTGTGGAGAGCTTGGATCAGAGCAACTCTTAAATGGGAAAAACAGAGGATGAATCCTATACAGGAAGCAGTCAGTTCAAGTGGAAGATGGTCCTAATATGAATATACTTAAGCTGCCCAGGTAGTCAGATTTGAGGAAAGTAGTAATGAACTAAATTGTATTAGTTGTGAGCTCTCCGTCTCGATTATGTTGCTGGAGGTCAGTATTCACCATAGCTATGTACTAGATCCTGTCAAATAATTGACTTAAGTCCTTTTCTGATTTACGTTTGTGCTGTTTGGCATCTTTGGGGTCACAGCAGATGAAGAGTGACTGGTGAGATTTATTCCCTCTCCTTGGAATGCTGGATTTCTAAGTGTCTCTGTATTGTCATTGTGCTGTGACAAGTGTTAGTGCTGTGCTTAATTGAGACGTGGAGCTTGTGTGTTCAGTTTGATTTTTCTTCATCAACTTGACTCCAAAATCAAATTAGATTCATAGTTTACAAACGCTCTGTGAAGTTGTTGTCAGAGGATATGTCTTTCCTTTTCCAATACAGCAGAGCTATCTTGGGTTCCACCCTAATGACTAATGCTGTCATGTGGCATCTTTGTAGAGTAATGTATAATAATTTGAAAAAGAAATATAGGAGCTCCTTCTAAATGGGAGAGGAATTTCTAATAATAAAATCACTGTTAATTATCTGGGATAAAATTTGGTGGTGAAAAAGCATAGAGAAGCTTTATCGTCTGTGACAGGAATGTTCTTAATCTTATAATTGTTAGATCACCACAAGCCATTTTTTTCTAGAGTGTTTGTCTTCTTGGTTTAAAAATAATACAAATAAAACAAAGCCGAAGGGTTATTGACTATCATTTTGATTGCTTGTATTCATAATAACATACAACTTTTTAACTGAGCATTCAGAAAGTACTTAAGGTTCTTTTTTTGGGAAGCTGATGTACCCGAAGTCAGGCATGCATTTGATTTTTAGGAGTGGAAATGTATGGCAAAACAACAGTAGTACAAAGTAACTTTTTAGTTTTCAAAGAGTAATGAACCATCATGATTTAAGGTAGCAGATTTCTGTAATTAGTGCGTGCCTTTGAGATTTCTGAGCTCCTAATAAACCAAGATTAGTTATTAAACTAGCTGTAATTCTGTCAGTGGTCATTGGCTGATGGGACTTTGTACCTGCAATTAATTTACATCCAACCACTCACTATTTGAAGTGCCACCTTCCACATACTATCCTGAAGGATAGCTTAAAGAAAATGTTTGGGTGAGAAAATTATTTTATCAAGTTTGAACCAGTCATTTTTGCCATTTTTAATCTGTATCACTCTCAGGCTTTGGAGAGAGAGAGAGAGAGAGACGATGCATTTTGGGACTCAGAAACAGCAGAGAGTCTCATATAATGTTACAGTGACTGTCTCAGATGGATCAGAAATGCTGAGATGGGATGCAAAATGCTGTTGCTTTGAGCGAGTGAACTATCTGTGAAAGAACTAGTGTTAGCTTGTATCTTGACAGGCGGTGGTTTTCAACTTCTGTAAAAACTGGCTTCCTTCTTGTTTGCAGAAGGGAGTTTAGTGCATGATTTCTGTAACTTGCCCGGAGTTCTTTGGCTGTCTGCTAAAACACCTGTAAATGCATATAATGTTGCATATAATTCTAGGCTGCTGAATGCCTGAGCTTGTTGATGTGACTTCTTGGCAAAGCAAGGGCAAATAGAGACAGTAAGGAGCTTGTTGCTTGAAGGTAACAATGTTCGAATTGGCTTTATTCGCAAAGGGAAAGCTTGCAAATCCAAGTGCAAATGGAAATGTGAAACTGTGTGTTCAGTAATATTTCAAATTGAAGATGTTCAACTGGAAATGTCATGGTATTTACAGCTTACAAGAACCCACAAGTATGTTGTGTGACATAAGGTAAGAGAAGTTAGACTAAGGTAAAGGAGCTGGCTTTGTGAGCAGCTAGGTGGTCTAAGCTGCTTTTGGAGCCAGGGATGAAAGGCAAAATGGTTGTACTACAGCTGTTTGTGTGACCTAATGCAATCCTTTTAATGTCTGAATGCACATACTATGCTATAAAAAATAAATTTGGAAGGTCTGCCACTCTTCTGAGGTGTTTTATTTGTGTTGCAGTGTTGGGCTGATGAAAAAATTCTGGTTCTCTTGCTCTTTGCTCTCCAGGAAATAGATGTTTGAAATATGCAATTCTTCAGTGCAGGGGTTTGGCAGTATTCTGTATAAACTGCTTCCACCCACCAATTTGGAGACTTTCTCTCCGAGCTGGGAGAGAAGTTGTGTGTATATTTTATTACAATCCTTCTCTGTAATTTGACGTTATTACAGTAATGTGAATGTGGTGCTTCTGTTATTAGGCAGCACTGGATTTATTTGCTACATTGAATCCGGCATGGGTTAGTGAAAAAGAGGACTGATTTTTCAAGGGTTATCATCTCAGTTGAAGAATGGCCAACTCATATAGACTTTCCTCTTTTTTTTTGGTTTTAACTGATGGTGGTTCAATGAGCAGATCTGCATATTGTTAACAGTCTCATATTGCTGCTGATCTGTTACTGTTGGACATTTGAGGAGGAAAAGCCGTGGATAGTACTGTTGGATGGTCACGTGGCAATCTCATCCAGCACCCTATTCCATCTAGCTTTATAAAAATTGCATTGATGCAGCTGAGTCAGATCTGTCAAAATGTCCTGAGGAAATGAAGCTAATGCATCTCTGAAGGCTTCTTTTGAATTTAAAATGAGCCATTTCCATTCAGTTATTCATTTCTTTTAGTGTTTTGGGGGGTTGCACTAGTTAGCAGTGCTGCTGGAGTGCTTGTTATATTAAATGTCTTCTACCACCCAAGCAAGCTGGAGATGGTGTAAAACAAAATTGCAAACTTCAATGAGTTAGAGGTAGCCCGAACTTAATTTCTAAGTTCCTAAATCCTGTTTCATGTTATCAGTCCAGAAGAACACCCTTTTAAATTTTTTTACAGTAAGATGGAAAACTGGAAGAGTGATTTGATACAGGATATTGTGGGAAAGAGGCATTGGACCAAAATGGAGAGAAAGCAGTGAGATTCCTGGGATAGCTGTGGATGTAGGATTCAGGAAATGCGAGTTGTGTTGTGGCACAACCAGAGCAGGATGACTGTGGGAATGCAGTTTAATATTTGAACCCTGTTCCTTGCACCTACAAAACAGGGCTGTGTTCAGTACATTTAATTGGGAGTAAAACTGTTTTGAAGTGTTCAAGAATGATATAGTGCTGGAGACAAAATGATTTTCTGTTTGAAGTAAAGGTAGTGAAATGAAAATGTGTGTGAAAGTGTATTTGGTTCTGGACGGTATGTCCTTCCAGACTGTATTGGACAGCAGTGTATTTCAGTGGTTATGGTTTTGTTTCACTTTTCATTCCTCTTGAGCATGTAAAGGTGAGCTTAGCAACTGAAGCATTACTGAAACGTGTCTCAGGGACAGACTCAGCTCTATCTCAGAAGGTGACAGCTGCTAGCATGTTTGTGCACCTTAACCATGAGTAAGTTCAGCTGTGACAGTTGCACAGATGTGCAGAATCTTCTTCATGTTGCATGTGGCTTCCTTCCCTGAACTCTTTGGTCTGTTGTTGGACTACAGACTGAGCCTTATTTCCACTCAGAGTCCTAAATCCAGAGACCTTTCCTGTTTGAGTTCAAACTGCAGCACTGCAAGGAAGGACTCTGTTTCAGAACCGGAGCATGGGACTTTCAGGGGGCCAAGCAGATCCTTGTATTCTGTTTTTGTAATAAGTCAACTACTGTGGCTGAGAACAGTCTCAGTTGGACTTCTCTGCACAAAGCTAAACTTCTACTTTTCTGTACTAGACAAACTCAGAGAAGACAGCTTAAATTCCTGTGCTCCAGATGAGTTCAAATCCAGAAGTGTAATTAATGTGGGCAGCACTGTTTTGCTGGGTCTGTTCTGATGTCTACTGTTGGTTTTATGTGTCAGTGTTTATTTTTGGTACCAGGTGGTGATACTTCTGTCCTGTGGGTTTCTGAAGAGCAAGACATAATCTTTGCTATGAACTTCACTCTTTCTTCAAGTTTGCTAGCCTCTTCAAGAAACAACTGAGGTGTAAGCATTCACTTTTAAAAGTTTTTTACTCTTTATGAGGTTACACATGTATTTCATGTTTAATCAAAACTAGTGGAACCTATTTATTTGAAACACAACTTTTGGTAGCAGGATTTAATTCAGTGTTGACTACTGATGTAATTTTGTTTCTGGATCATTTTTTCTAATGGCATTCAGTCCTAAAAGAACTGGCTTGGAAAAAAATGAAAGCAGACTTAGTTGGTGCTGTGACTGGAAAGGAAACATTTGAGCCTTGGCTAAATAAGAACTGATTTTATTGGTTTTTGTATGCTTGTGACTTAAAGATGATTGTGTTTGTAGTGAAGTGCAGTCTTCTAGTCAATATTAGCCCCAAAATTCATTTGATCCTGGTCTAGGTTTGCAGAACCAGTAAGTGCATTCCTACTGCTCTCTGTTCAAGCATCATTGTGATGGGGCCTTTTTTTTTTTTTTTTTTTTAGTGGCTTGACTCGCTTATATTTCCATCTGTTCTCCTCTTTTGCTTTAATTTGGAAATTAGTGTGGCACTGCTTAGACCTCAGTGGAGTGAACTTGTTATGGCTGAACCCTTCAAATGGCTGAATACCACACAGTTGTTTGCTCACTCCCTCCTTTCCCAGTGGGACTGGGGAGAGAAAAGGGGAAAAAAAAGCCGGTCTTTCTCAGAGCCTTGGCTTTTAGCAGCAGATGTAATCATTGGCGTGTTACCTACTTTGTTTTTCTCTTAGAACTGAAACACAACATCATACCAGGTGCTCTGAAGAAAACAATTCCATCCTGCTGAAACAAAGACACATGTGAAGATCACTGAAGGGAGCATTCACCTTGAACAATAATCAGTTTTTTCCCTGTCTGTAAGTCCTGCAGCACAGCAGAACCTAAGATCTTTTCAGCTGGATTTTTCTGTACGTGCTTATCTTGTCTCTGTCTCGATCAGAAGGATTGAAGGAAGAGAAATACCTACTGGCTAATGAGAAAATGAGTTTGCACTCAAAGCTGAAACTGTACCAGTGTAACATCTTGATTTGTGGAGTAAGTGACTTAAAACCAAAGAAGTTGTGCAAAAATGAAGGCTGTCACAGTGGTGGCACTGGTCGTGGCATTCACCCTTCTCTCATAAGCTTAATTTGCTGGAAGGCTCAAGCTGTGTGTTTTTCTAAGCTGGTTTGCAGAATAGCCCTATGATGGGCTCTTAGGTACTTCAGTGATTGAAAATTTTGAGAATGTCTGCTCTTGTGCAGCATGTGTAATCAGTGAGAGAAAAACAGATGTTCTGGTAGTGAATAGAAGAGTTTCTTGGAAAAGGCAGCGCTGAGAGCTTGGTGGAAGCTTTAAATGGTGGCTTCTGAATTCAGTGAGTGTACCGGGAATTTGGATTCTCAGAATGTGGCTCTCGTAGCTGAGGAAAATGAGGCCTGATGTGGAAAGCAGTGATGTCAGGTGGCTGGGAGAGTTTAGCAGTGTTAACCACACTGTGGGAGCAGTGCTACAGGGAACGGGAGGAGGCTTTCAGTGGCCTTGCATATTTAGGCTGCTTGGGCTGGGGGTGCAGTGAGGATTTGAAGCAGTGGCTTCCGCACAGGATTTTAGCACAGCAGGCAGGGTTGTTTGTAGGTGGAATGATTAATTCAACAGAATGTTTTCTGTCAGTAGCATGCTGAGTTTTGTGGAGGGAATAAAGGGAATAATAAGTGCATGGTGAGAGTGGGTAGTGCATGTGACCAGGGTGTGAGAGGAAGAACTGGTGAATATGTAGTGGTCTAACACTGTTCCCTTTATTCTTGCGCAGCACAAAGCACACGTATTTTACTGAGGTTTTAATATATGAAAATGGCAACTGCTGTTTGACCTGCTAGCAGATAGTTGATTTTAAAACTTTAGTCCTTCTAATTTCTTGCTGTTTTTTTCATCTGCTTTGCTTGAGTAATTCCATAAGAATTTTTTTCACCAAATTTTTAATCAAAAAGGAAAAGTCGCAATAAATTATGCCACTTTTATTATAAACATTTACAAGAAAAACTAGCATGAATATAGCTTTCTTTGGAATACATTTTTTTTAATGTCAGTTGTTATAGTGCTAAAACGCATTGAGTCTTGGTTAATGTTGATGAAAAGAATACAAATTACTTTCTGCAATATGAGCAGAATTATTGTGTTGGCATTGAGAGCAGGTCCTGGCATTGTGCACCATGTTGAACCCTTCTAGGCAATAGAAGACCAACTATTTGTATAACTCTCTTGATCAAAGAACATAAGAAAAACCTCAAAACTGCGCAAGTATTAAAAAAGGAGTTCTGTAGAAGAGTAATACAGCTCTGTCAATGCAGTGTTGACAGCATAGGAAGAATGTCTAGCACACCTCATTCATGATTAGGAAGAGGCTGAAGTATTAGTATTCAAGTACTTTATAGCTAGCTTGTTGCATATTGAAATATCACTGCCACAAGGAGAGTAACATTTTAATCAGCTTAAGCTGCTCTGGATTCTGGACATGCATTCTAGATGTACAGGACACTCCAAAATTTTTTCATGTGTGTTTACCAAAAGAACAGGGTAAGTGGAGTATTTTGTTGAAACTAATAGCTTTTTTTCTAACATGAAAAGGGTCATATTGAAGTGCTGGCTTTCTTCTTACATGCATTAGTTACAGAATGTGCTTGGCACTATCTGTGCTGAGATTACCGTTCTGGATGTAATTTGTTCATAGTGGTATCACATCAGGTGTCAACAGATCCAAAGTAGCTGCATTTGGCACAGGCTTTTAGATGCTTTTCACCTGGATTTCATGTTTTCAGAAGTGTTAGGTATTTGCTGTCTAAAGCTTTAAATATAGGGAAATATTAATTAAAAGCAGTTGTCCTGCTTATCAAATTTAGGTTTTGTTTCCTTACTGTGTTGTGAGATTACTGTAGCCCTCACTGGTCATTTAAGTGCTGGATCATTTTCTCAGCCACTGTAGAGCTTTTCCTTATTTCTGAGTGTGGCATAGGGCCTTATTGCCCAAATACACAGTCATGGTCTTAAAAAGCACCATAGGACTGTATCATCAGATACGAGCATCACGTCCTTAACCATTTCAAACAGTACGTGCTTTTGACAAGAGCAGTGTCTTTAATGAGCAAAGTGGAACCTTAGAGAAGGATTGCTTCTGAACTGTGATTGATGTTAATGCAGTGAATCCATATGGAACAGCAAAGTGAGAGATGCAATACTTTTTTGTTTGGAAGAGAGCTGTCTTCCAGTTTAACTTCCCCTTGACTGATGATACTGAAGCAGACGGTCTGATTGCCCTCTATGTTATGCTAAGCTACTGAAACATTTAAAAAATCAGTTTCTCCTAATTTTTATCACTATTAGGAAAAGGCTATTCAGCATCTGCATGTAGAAGCCCTTACTGGATGTTATTGCCATCACTGAAGAGTGTTGTCTCATAATTTGCTAACATGATGTGCAGATAGATTTACTCTTCAGGGGCTCTTTTCTCACTGTCCTTCCCATTAATGCATTCTACATACACACTTTTTTAAAGAACTGCTCTATTAGTTCCTGTCCCTCTGCCCTTCAATCATTGCCCTGAAAATAACAAGTTGAATTAATTTGATGTTACAGACTGTCTTTCAAATTCTAGATCTTTCTTCAGAATGCTGAGATGGTTGAAATGTGGGGTTTGTATGCCGCAGGGGTATCTTATCCCTGCTCCTATACACCCTATTATTCTCTTTGTAATTTCTGTTCTGCATTTGGTTAAACATATGATGAACACTTGTATCCTGTAAGAGGAAGACGTCACTAGATTTGTTTTAACCGTGGCCATTGGAAATTGAATGAGAAGTTATTTCATTCCCTTTTCTGGTTCACTGAAATCTGGTTTTAAAATGGCTTGATCCAAAGAACTGCTTTCTGTGGCTCAGTGCTGTTGTATGTAATAGAAGTGAGCTTACTGCACTCTGCAGCTTACTAGGCTTACTGTTTGCAGAGCTGTCGGAGGTATAAAGCAGAAACATCTGCAGATTTGGGGGTAAGTCATCAATTTACAAACTTCAGTACCTGAAAGTCAGACATGTTTGTTCTGTGCTGAACTTCTGTCATCAGCTTTTTACTGTCAGCCCACACAGTATTGTGTAGCAATTATTTAACAGGCATAAATGGGAAGCTCTAGTATGAAGATCTTATTTTATCTTAGCAACAGGCACTGTCTAAATCTATAAGTGTCATGTTTAACTATGTAGGGCATCTTGACACTGGCCACAGCCTTTGACTCACACTGAATTTAGTAGTTAGAGTAGAACTTCCAAAATGTTGTCTGAAACTTTCCAGTCCGAGCTCTTTCAGAAGAAAAGGAATGTAGACAGGAATAGAGAGTGAATGGAATATAGAAGTAACTACAATAAAACACAACTTCCCAGCATCAGCTCATTAGTCACTCTTGGTGGTATTTAATTTGTTATTTTTCTCATCTGTTGATGAGCTTGGCTCTTTGGTTTTGTTTCTTTCATGCAGCAAAAGTGTTTAAAAGTTTAAGTGGTGATATGCCAGGTAGACTGTCAGGAGCATCTTCTTTCTCTTGTGCAAGGGAACCCTTATCCATGCAATGTGATTATCTGTGCAAGAAGCAGGAGATGTTTGAAAACTCATGTGTAAGATCTCAAAAGCAGTTGTTCTGCTTTTTTGTTCTTCTCTTCTCCAATTTAAACGAGCCCAGTTCCCTCAACCTTTCCTCACAGGAGAGGTGTTCCAGCCCTCTCATCATCTTAGTGCCCTCCTCTGGACCATTCCAAGAGCTCTGCGTCTTTCTTGTGCTGGGGGCCCCAGGCCTGGACGCAGTGCTGCAGATGGGGCCTTGCAAGAACCGAGCAGAGGAGGACAATCGCCTCCCTCTCCTGCTGACCACCCCTCTTTTAACACAGCAGGAGAGAGTTGGCCTTCCGGACTACAAGTGCACACCGCTGCCTTATGTCCAGCTTCTCATCCAGCAAGAACTGTTTCTTCAAGATTTCCAGCTTGTCTCCTATTTCTGTGCCAGATTTTTCTATCATCAGTTTTGTCTTGACATCTCTTTACTTCTGCACGTGTTTTCTTTTCTTTCCTGTGTTCCCTTCTGTCTTCAGTTTCTAAGGTTCTCTTTCCTCATTCTGGGTTCTACTACTCTGTTTTCGTCTGTCTGTCATGATATCAGGACTGTTTTCTCAAGGTGGTTATGTGAAATATGGGCTTTTCTTGTCGGTATGTTAATACTAGACTACTTCAGTAGCTGCTGAGGTTAGAATTGCTTAGAACTTTCAGACACTTTTAGCCCTGATCTTCTTTCCAGTGGGTTAACTAGAACCAAGGGTTAACTGGAACCATGAATGAAGGATTGGGGTGAAGGACCTGTGGAATTATAGAAGAAAGCTTGTAGGTCTCTATAAGAAGACTTAAAAATATGTAACAAACTTTTAATCCCAGGCTTTTCTGTCACCCAGGGAAGATGCTGAAAATCCCTTCATATAGTAGAGTGGGCTTTCTATTAAGTTAAAACATATAATGAAGTATCCGAATTCTCTATGATAATGTGCCCCAACCACAAATACCCTTCAGCATCTTGTAGTGCCTGGAGATGAAAGGGAACAGTAGTAAAGCTGCAGGGATGAGTTGGAGGAAGGCTTTGGAAGCAAGTCCTTCTGATTTCTGAAAGAGCAGTAATAAAGGTAAGCAAGTCTTCGGTGCCCAGTGCAAAAGCTTTGACCAAGCCAAGATACTGCAAACCCAGAAACACAGCTGTCACATTAGTAACCCTCAGGCTTAAGAGGCTGCAAATATGTATTTCTTTCTTTTTTTTTTTTTTTTTGGTGGCAAGAGAAAGAAGTAAGATGCTTGTAATGGGCTAAATAGCCTACCAAATCTGATTACTCAAGAGATACTGGTTTAACTAAACCCACTTTTCTGAAGAGATGACAAAATGTGGTTGGGAACCTGTTTCAGCATTACTGTGTGCAGTGCCTAATGGTTCTGTTTGCTAACAACAGTTGAAACTGTCTCAACCTGATCCCAAATGTGTCAGTTGCTACTTGGAGCAGCTAAACATCTTTAGACACCCTTTCTTTAAGGGAACATCTGTGAGGGTTACATTCTTATGGATGTGCAAGAGAAACTTGAAGAACAGGACCTTGTTTGGGGACGATGGATGTGAAAGTTAGATCTGTTCCATGTTGTGGTTGGAGTGTTGTTGGCTGCTGGTGGGAGTGTGCTGGTTAATTCCTTTTTTGTGAAGGATGCCTGTTGGGTGCTGCAGTCTGTTAGCTGGAGGACTTCAGAAACAGAGCAGCTCTGATCCTATGTCATACATAGCATCAAAGGAGGACTTAGATTGAGTTATTCAGGGAGTTATGCTGTGGTGTTTTAAGAAAGATCTTGTGATATATTTCTAGTACAGCAAAAGAAACAGATCTGTTACTGAATGCACCACAGGCATCCTGGAGCAGGGTTTTAGCTGACTGATCAGCAAGTATTCTGCAGCTCCTTCTAGTTAAATAAAAGCTTTTCCTTGGGATCAGACTGCTCTGTTACGTGCTGCCTGAACATTCCTTTAACATTTTAATCATGGAGTATTTGCTTTATTAACTTCTCAAAAGTTGTTAATGAAATTCCATGGGCACTGGACGAAAAATGTTACCACTACTTCCTTGTGCATGTTAGAAAACTTTATCTTGCTACCAGTTTCTGTGTACCAGCATTGTGTACAGTTGTGTGTTTTACCCACTGCGTTGGGACAAGCGCTGTGTTGTCTGACGGGCTCTGCATACCAAATGTCATAGCATCCCTTTTTAGAGCAACAGGGATTAAACCGAAGAGGATCAGTGTGGTATTTCCAGTAGGAAAAGCTATTCTTAATAGTCCTGCAGGGGAGGCAGGTTGTTCTTGCTCACTGGGTCTGGGAAGGAGCAACTTCTGAGTACTGTGACCTAGAGCTCTGCCTTCCTAATTAATCTGGGTGTTTCTTCTTGTCTCTTTTTTTTTTTTTTTTCTTTTTTGCCACTTAGGTTGTCAGACCCTAGGCTAAATTACTGTCTTAATTATTGACACTGTAAATAAGTTTGTCTATCAGTCTTGGCAATAGGATAAACAAAGCAAGTGTCAGCGGCGTATCCTGTAATCCAGAGATAAGACTATAGAACTGCATAGGATTATGCAACACAGTATGTATAAATTTGCTAAAGCTTTTTCAAAATATTTTTCAGGTTCTAAATGGCTTCTAAGAAGTTGGGATCCGACTCTCACGGTGAGTGGAATTTGTTATCTTTCAATCAGATGAATCTCAGTATTGTTGCTGACTAGAGCCTTGGCTTAGAGAGGCCACAGAGGCTAATTGTTCAGCCTCAGATGAGATTTTTGTTGTAAATGAAGTGCCTTGGCTTCCTCCTTGCATAGTTGCTTGCTGATGCTGTGCCTGTTCTCTAGTTAAACGGAAATAAAGCTGCTGATTACCCTCCATTATCCCCTCCCTCCACTCGTGGCAGACTAATACCTCCCCAAGAATCCCCTTCAGTATTAAAGGTGAACTGTAATTATGGTACTGATATGAAGATCACTGAAGCAATCTCTAATCTGCAGCTTACTCTTATGAAAGTCAAGTGAGCAGTTGGATTGAAAGTTAAGCATTGTGCTTGCTTTTTTCTTAGCAGCGAATTTATTCCTAAACTGGACTTCCATAACTGCAAGCTGTTGAGCTAGATAAGTGAAGAAGACATTTTTGTCTGTGTCTGAGATGTGTGATATCATGCAGATGTTTGGCATTATAAAGAATTACTTTCTTGTACATGTGCTACTCTTAGAAAATGAGATATAGATTTGAAAGGGTTCTTATTTCCTTAGAGACTTAAGTTCAGTTTGTTATATATAATGCAGATCCTTAAAAGAAGTAAATAAAAGCTGCTCTGGGAGGCTCAAATGAAATGTCTAACATGATTGTTGTAGAAAGAATATTTTGTGTCAGAAAAACAGCCTTGATTTTTTCAGGGTAGTCTTTCTGAAAATAGAATACAGAGGCATTGCTCTCCCTCCTGAGCATGTTGTTCTGTCTTGCAAGCATGAAATTGAGGTATGTAGTAAACTTAGATTAATTTAAATACATGTTAAGGATTAATAGAAGTAGTCTACCAAAACTTGATCTTTGGATAGCTGCCTCTGTTGTTGTGGCAATTTACGTCATTATTAGATAACTGCCAACATCAGTTGCTGTTCTCTGGACAGCTTGTCTTTTGAATCCATCTGCTTCCTAACCCAGGCTAGAAGAGACCCTGCTCAGAGATAGAAATAAGCCTGTCTTAAATGTTTCTTAAAACAGTGCAGTTTGGTGGAATATGCCCCTGGCTTCAGAATAATAAGGTCAAAACAGGTGATGCTGTACCATGGCTAACTTGACTACCTTCCTCTGTACCCTCTGTTCCTAATGATATCCTTAACTCTGTCATAGTACTGGTTCTGATTAGTGGAACAGATTCCTTGGCTTATTTCTTGGAAAATCAGCAAGGCAATTTTTTCACTCTTTTCCATAGTTGGGAAGCATCAATCCCACTAATTGATTTTTGACTTAGTGTGAAGCATCTAGTCCAGCAGCTGCATTCTGATCTCTTCATCTGCCTTCAGCTTAGCTTCTGTGACAAGCTGAAATTGGTCAACCAAGTTGGTGGATCTCTTGTACTTATTGTTCAGCTGTGTATTGAGAGTTAGAGGCTGAATTCCAGGAGGTTAAATCACAGAATAGCTGAGTTTTGCAGGGAGCTTTGGAGATCATCTTTTCCAGACCTCTCTTGCTCAAGCTGGGCCACCTGGAGCGGGTTTCTCAGAACCTTGTGCAGATGGGAAGAGGCTGGAGACAACAGAACACGTTTTTTTGTTTCTCCACTCGAGGGGTGATTTGTAACTTTGTAAAATGTAACTCCGTGTGCTGTCTTGTCATCTGGATAACTGGAAGTTCAAGCTTACATTCTAGCAAAAGTGGCATCCAGAAGTATAGCTCTGGTCTGATAAGCAAAAGGACAGATTACATTAAGAGCAACAAGTTAATGTTGCTGTTACGTTGTCTCTTACTCTGTACAATTTAAAAACTTTCCAATCCAGTTTCTGAAAATCACATGACCTTAGTTTGTGTGACCACTAAAACAAAGTTGGTTTCAAAACAGTTTCCAATTCATTACTGGTAACTGCACTTTATCTGAACTGTTCTCATTATGCTGTCACACTGCTTCTATGGATTAGCTGGCAGTTTCTGCATTACTGAAGTGGATAGAAGTCTTTCTCTCACAGCAGTAGTTCCTTGGTCCAGGAGTGTCGTATAGTGTGTGGCATCAGAGAGCAGTCAAGCAGCTACTGTTCTACTGGGGCTGTTCTCACAGAGCCCTCCCTCAGTTTGTCATAAAGCCCTTAAAGAAGATGGAGGAGCTAACATGCTTTTGAAACTATAGTTAGAAAACCTTTGATGGCTTTGCTTAAACCACTGAAATAATGGCTTGTTTACATTGTGTATGGAGGTTCTGCTTATTGTTTTGAATTTGCTGTTTGTGTCCACACACATCAGAGTGTTTAGACAGTATGCACTGCACTGGCTGGTCCCAGAGTCCTGCTAGGACGTGGGTGGCACACATCAGAGTGTTTAGACAGTATGGCCATCTGTTTGAAAAAAAGGATACTTTGCTTACTGCTCAGTTTTTAAGTTTGCTAGGCTAGTGCTGTTCTGGCTGTGTTGGAACAAACTGAGTATTACGTGCTTCATTTCTCTTCGGGAGGACTTCTAGCATTATGGACTCTTCATTGTCAAAATGTCTAGAATATTTTGTGTGTTTCTTGTTTGATATCCTTGTAGCTGAGTTGTGTTCAAGACAACAGTATAGCAGTGTATTAGAAAACTGTCACATTAGGAAGACACTGGGAAGTTTTCTCCTTAGCCTAGCTGCTGGGGTTAAATGAACAGCTGTCAGTTCAGATATAGTCTGTGTTTCTAGTTTTCTTTCTGTGCTAAAACAAACGAAGTTGCTGTATAAACACCACAATGACTAGTGCCTATTTCAGGCAAGCAAGAAAGCCATGTAAGGGAAGGTATCTACCACCTACTGTGTTAATGCCTCTAGTAAGATGCTTATTTGCATACTGTGCAACTGGGGTTGGGAGTGGTGCAAAGAGGTAATCCTGCTTCACTTGCATGCTGCAGTAATCTCTGCTAGAGCAGAACTTGCAGAACTAGTGCCGGTGGGACTAACTGGGGCATGGTAGTTACCAAGCTGGGCTCTCAGCAGTTTGGGGATGTGGTTGTCTCTGAGTCAGCCATAATTTACAGCTATAGTTCAAAGGCTGAAAGAGTTCCTACTTCTGCATGAACACTCTGTCGTATCCAACTTCTCAAATAGTCAGCTCAGGTACTGCTTGGATGTCATAGTGTGAGTGGCCATGAAGGTGTGGTACAGATGCTGTGCCTTACTTGAATGTGTGGTTCTTAGTAAGGGTCAGTGAAGATAGTAACACACAGTGTGTGGGGCCCTTTTCTTGTTCTGGTGGTACAGGTGGCTATTCAGCCTGAGGGTTTCAAAGCTGGAGGAAGAGCCACCCACGTCCTAGCAGGACTCTGGGACCAGCCAGTGCAGTGCATAGTATGAGAGCTCACTTGATGACAGCACATAACATTTAACTCCAAATTAACAGGATATTCCTGTTTTCAAAAGCTGCTTGTCCTCTTGGAGCTTGTGGCTGTGTTACTGTAGATGAGTCAACAGCAAGGGAACACAAATAGTACTTGAACTGTCATCCAAGTATGAAAATGGGTCAGATAAAAATGGCAAGGCACAGCTCACTGAGCAAGAGGCTAGTGCTGAACAACATCCTACATGTTGCCACTTATGCCTAGTTGGATTCATATCATTCCAAGCAAAGTTACGTTCAATGATGTGATGTGGGCTCTCTGGTACACTTCACAGCAGCTTGTGGAAAAGAAACCTTTAAACCTCTGGATTCCTGGAGAAGTTTGAGTTATTGGTGACTCTGCCTTGTGTGATTTGTAGGATGCTTGAAAAGAAAGTTTCTGTCCTAAAAAGCTTATTAAACACTATGTGTGAGTGACAGACATCAAGCACAGATGGAGGACCATGAAGTAAGCCAGTGGCCTCGTTAGAGTGATCATGAATTGGGTGGTGAATCAAGTTAGATCGCCTCATTTGGAAAATCAAAATTACTATACTGAACAGTCTTAAGGTACTTTTCTGTGTTAGTGTTAAAGCCAGTCATTGAGCTACTTTGCTCTTGTGACTGCTTTTGTCCAAATGCTGCTGCTGCTTGTATGCCAGAACTGTTTTTTCCTGGCTACTCTAGAGTTGGGTCATCCTAACGCCTGTTTTGAATGTGGTAAAAAGCAATGGCTCCTTCCACAGAGGTGTAACAAAATGCAGTGTTCAGGGCAGCTTCAGAATCTGGTTGTGTAGGCTTAGGCTAGTCACAAAAGAAGCTCAAATGCCAGGAATATTAACTTCAGCAGCTGCTCAGCTGCTGCGATATTGTAAAAGCGCAAAAAAGTCAAGGGCGAGAGTGTTCTTTGTAAAGAACAAAACTGAAGCAATGAAATCAAAACAGATTCAGTGTTGATGACACAACTTCCTCTGAGTTGAATCACCTTCACCTGATGTAGCTGTGGCAACAGAGGAAGAATCGCTCCCAAATACAGAAATGTGAGGAGTAAATTGAAATGGTGAGGTTTTTGATAAAACTTCTTTTGATTTTTAGGGCCTTTCAGCTATCTTGATGATGTCCCATTTAAGATAGGAGACAAATTTAAAACTCCTGCGAAGGTTGGACTACCCATTGGTTTCTGCCTGCCTGATTCTTTTCAGCTTGTCAGAGAAGCCCAGGTAAGTGATATTTTTTTGCCTATACGGGTCTTGCACATATGATGCTGCAAATTGCTTTTAACAGGTATGCTGTAGTGGCACATCTTACGCCAGTAGTAGCAGAAGATCTGCTGGAATGTATAGTAAGGTAAAAAATATTTTGCATGGTAAGCCATGTAAAAAAAAAAAAAATCTCTGTTTATCAGTTACAAAAATGCATAATGACGTTTATTTTCTTGTATCTACTCCAAAATGAACTATGTTTCTGTGTCTTGGTTAAAGATCTAAATGCTACCCTGATGTTGTTAAAATTAAGCAGTATCTTTTAAGAGGAAGAATTGTCCTCATTCTATGAATGTTTTTGAAGGTAACAGGTATGGCTGTATTTTGTGGGTTCTCAAAGTAATGGCTTGAAGAGATTTTCAGTTCCTGTGCTCTGTGCAATTCTGAGCAGAAATGCTGCACCAGCCGTGCAGCAAAGAGGTTACAGTTTGGTACAGATTTCTTCCAGGTCTTTTAGGGTCATGACTCATACGTAACCATCTGGTAACAAAGATCTTCAAGAGCAAGATGTGGTCCTGGAAATATAGTTGGACTGCTCAGACACCAAAGAATATGAAATTAATAGAACCTGGCACATCTGCCAGTGAGCTTTTCAAAATCACTATGTTTGTAAATTGTATATCTTCCTTTTTAGAGCCTTAGATCCAAGGGAAGGGAAGACTCTTCAGTGTACAGCTGAGATAACAGTTCTCCAGGTTTTCACTGAAGCCCACTATAGATAGGATATGATGCAACATAGTGAGTCTCAGAAAATCCTAGCAAAGGCATAGCAAGCCTTCCTGGTGTGTTGCTCTTTTGAGCTAGGACCTTGCAGTGCTGTTGCAAGAGTAGTCCTGTTTGGTTATGTGACATCATTCTGGTAAGCAGATCGTAATTTTTCTGAGTCACAGGTAGGCTATACCCTGCACATAGCTCATAGGCTTTGTTCTGTAAATGTTCTCTCATTGTTTAGAGGGCACTAAAGATGTTTGGTCTTAATAAGATATTAAAGCTGTAAATATGTTTAGTCTGTTTAGAACTGTGTACTCTGTTTGGCCACTACAGTGGCTCATGCAGTTAATAGTGGTAGCTTATATAAATGTCTCTCTGTGCTAACCCAGCCCTGTAAGAGCTGATGTTAAATGAGGAAAGTTTACAGGATTCAGCCATGCCAGTAATAGTGGCAAAAATGCTGCTGCAGGTTGGTGTCTCATCAAAGTTGCTGGTGTACCGTTTTTGCTGGTGAGCCTACCAGCGCCTCCTCAGCCAGTGCGTGTACAGCTCATATCCAACCCTTCAGGTATCTTTTAGTGTGAACTGATTAGTACTGTACTGGTCTTTGGATGCAGAAAGTACTGTGCAGTGGTCTTGGATGTAGTTCAGTAGTGCCGGGTCTGGGTGTTACAGTCCGCGTGTGACATCGGTCTGACTAATGCATTACACTACCAATAACTACATCTCCTCTTCTTCCCAAGAGGATGAGAGATCTTGTGATCATCAGTAGCTCTTAAGGAAAACTAAATGTAGGAAGGAGGCAAACTGTGCGATTCTAATCCAGAGTGTAGCAGACCTTGCTGCTGGATGCAAAATTAACTATTTCTGGTGTCTCCTAGTTCTGCCGGTCTGTAAGTTACAAGAGATGCTGAAGAAAAAAGTGACTGTCTATGTTAATTCATGTAGCTCTTGGTCTGTCACTTAAGTTGCTGTTAAAGTAGTGACTGTGATTCTTACATGCTTATGTAAGTTGTATTTATTTTTTGCCCATCTCCTTTCCTCTCAGTATGACTTTTCCCTGGAAAAGAAAACAATTGAGTGGGCTGAAGATATCAAAAAAATTCAAGCTGCCCAGAAAGAAGCTGAACGCAAGGCTGAAGAAGCAATAGCAAACTCAAAAGTTGCTCCAGAGGACAACAGAATGGGGTTCCCAGAGGGACCTTGCCCCGAGGCCATGCCTCCACCTATTAACCCCATACTCGCTAGTCTGCAGCACAATAGTATTCTTACCCCTACTCCAGCCAACAGCAGTGCTGTGAAGCAAAAAGTTCTTAGTCCACCTCATCCAAAAGCAGATTTCAACCCAGCTGATTTTGAATGTGAAGAAGACCCATTTGACAAACTGGAATTAAAAACTATTGATGATAAGGAGGAATTAAAAAACATTCTTGAAATTCATGTTGGTACTACTGGGCCAGTTGTTGCCCAACTGTTAGATAACAGCTTGCCCAAAGGAAAGTCTGAGTCTGTGTTACAAGATCAGGAAGTTTTGGCATCCATAGAAAGGGCCGCGTTGGACCTCAAGCCCCTTCACAAACCCAATGGCTTTATCACTTTACCGCAACTGGGAAACTGTGAAAAGATGTCCTTGTCTTCCAAAGTGTCCCTGTCCCCTATCACTTCAGTGAGCAGTATCAAATCCCTGTCCTTTCCTAAACTTGACTCCGATGAGAGTGATCAAAAGTCGTCAAAGCTCATGGGCACTTTTCACAGCGCTAGTTGTCTCCGCAATGGCACTTTTCTCAGCTCTTTGCAGGCCTGTGCTCAGAATAAAGCTAGCGAACTGAATGGACACCACATGGTTGATCTTTCTGCTGTAAACGAGGACAGTGGAATGGAGACATCTACATTATCCTCTTCATCCAGACTGCCGTCCCTGGCTTTGTCGACACTGTGTGCAGAAGAACAAAGCACAGTGACCACGGTAAAATACAGCGGATTAAAACTGTGTGTATGGGGGTGATGCGGAGGTGCAGAGGCATATGTTGATTCTAAAACATTCAGCAGCTTAGTTTTTAAGCTTCTTTTAATGTGAGTCGTACGTAGATAGGACAGATCATATACAGTAGTTCTTCATTAATGTGGGAAGCTCTTTGGTTCAAAGAGTCTTTATGTTGACAGTGTGAATCTCAGACGTACACACAGATTTGTTCACCCCGTTTCCTTCTGACAAAATCTGCTTTAGGTAAACTCATGGAATGTGTTTTCCAAAGAACTTAAGATCTGGACACCAATACCTATGAAGTCTAATGGAAAGTCTGTAGTCAGGTCCTCTAGCTGGCTCTAAAACAGCCTGAGAAATTGGAAGGCTTCTGTCAGATAAGCAGTGCATGAGTGGTTCTGAAGTCTTACTGGCATGCTGTAGGGTTTTTTGTTTTTTTTCCTAACACCATGTGCTCTACAGCAAGTGTCAGTGTTTCAGTTCTTTCATTTCTTTTTCTGGCTCAGGTTAAGGCATTATTGAGAAATACAGTGTTCTGGCAATTAGTGTATTTTTCAGAGCACAGCAGAAGAGGTGTTCACTGATCACAAGCATAATGCAGTAAGCTTTGGCAGAAGTAGCAGTGTGCTTAGCAAGTGCTTACTGCTACAAATCAAATTCTGGGAGGAGATTCTGTCACTGTATGTAGCTCAGGTGAATTCTTGAAGCAGGAGGAGTCTCCAGGGATTAATGGGGAAGAGCACTTACAGCTAGATAGATGGGCCTTAAAATAGCCAAATTCTCACTCCAAGTATTTTAATCTTTATGCTAGAATAAATCGTGATCAAGAGTAGAAGGGTATTCTCTGGAATACTATTAAAAGAAGAAACAAAGAGTAAAAAAAAAATCAAAAGACTTATTAGGAGGAGGAATACAGATCAGAATTTGAAACTTTGTGTTTGGAAGTAACGAAACCAAGAAATTGGTGTGTTGACAGAACTAGTTATTTCTTTCTAAGATTGAACACCCTGAATATACTTGCTTTAAATTTCCTCATTAATAAGGTCTTAGTTGATAGAAAATTACCTGAGTTGCAAGAAATGGAAGTAAATAGAGAAACAAAAATCTCCAGAGTTTGAAAAGGAGAGACAAAAGTCAGAATTGTTGGTTGTGTCAGCTGTTGGTTGCGCTGCTTGGCAGACTGGTTCTGCAGAAATGGAACAGTTGTGCGGCCCTGGTGCAGGTTGGATCCCAGGCTAATGTGGAGGTTGAAGAGAACAGACTGGACATGGGTGGCCTCTCTGCACTGATGTAGTACTGAAGATGTGTAATTTCTGTGCTGTCCGACTGGAACTTCCCAAAGTGGACCGGTTCCATATTGCTTACTTTTCTGCTGCCAGGTGTCACTTAACATCTTATATTTGTGATGAGTGACAGGAAATAGTCCTATAAGGTGGTTTCTTGTAGTCTCCCCCAAGTTTCTGCCTTTGGGACTGTTAGAATGGGACAAATAGAGCCAAGTGGTGGACGAATCCTTATGACTGGGCTGAGGTCAGTGCAGGGCTTTTAGAAATAGGTGTGGGAGACACTGGCTTTAGAAACCAGGTGAGAGCTGAAGTAAGTGCTTAGCTCCTTTTCAACCCAGCAGAAGAGGAAGTACCGGGTTTTGCTGTCAAACATAAGTATCGTTAGCCATTGGGAACTGGACAGTTGGTGAAAACATTAAACTGTTTTTTTTTTTTGTTTGTACGTGACATATAAACTGCAGTGCTTTGAAAGTGGAGAAGATGGGGGGAGGGTGTATGTTTCTCTTAACCCTTGTCAGAGTAAAAAAGAAATATATATATATATATATATATATATATATCAATAGATGTTTCTAGGCACAGACCTTAGAACCCATCAGTGTCACTCAGCAAGCCACTGGGTCAAGAACTGAAGAGGAGTCAGCATGTTACAGAGCTCTGTGAGCTTGTAGCTGCAAATTGTAGCAAGCTTACAATTATTGGAGGAGTGCAGCCTTCTTAGAATGTAATCTACTTATAGAGTGCTGAGAGAACAAACAGTCCTTATAATGGCTGCATCCGAAGCAGCACGGCCAGCGGGGCGAGGGAGGGGATCCTGCCCCTCTGCTCTGCGCTGTGACACCGCACCTGGAGCGCCGCGTCCACAGCTGGAGTGCTCAGCACAGCAGAGACGGGGGCCTGCTGGAGAGCGTCCAGAGGAGGGCCGCACGAATGGTCAGGATGGAGCAGCTCCCTGTGAGGACGGGCTGAGAGCTGGGGCTGTGCAGCCTGGGCAAGAGGAGGCTGAGCGAGAGCTGAGGGCGGCCTGTCTGTGTCTAGTGGGGGCTGTAAGAAAGACAGGGATAGACTCTTCAGTAGGTCTGTTGTGGTGGTAGGGGGAAATGGTTTCAAACTAAAAGAGAGAAGATCTAGGTTGGATATAAGGAAGTTTTTTAAAAGGATGGTAAGGCACTGGCACAGACTGCCCAGTGAGGTGGTGGATTCCTCATCCCTGGAGACACTCAAGGTTGGGCTGGAGGGACTGTGAGCACCTGATGGAGCTGTAGGTGTCCCTGCTCATTGCAGGAGAGTTGGACCTTTAAGGTGACCTTTAAGGATCCCTTGCAACTCAAACAATTCTGTGATCTGTGGCTATTTCATACTACATATGTCTGCATAACTTGTCTAACCCACATACTTGTCATACCTAGTACGGTAGCCACAGTCCCTGATCTTTTCATGAAACCTTTTTCCCAATAGTGGCAATATGTAATTTTCATCACCTTATTTGTATGTTGTCCAACAGGTACACCCAGACAAGGAGATAGAAATCCCTATGGTAAGTTCTGACATCCTTTGTGGTATTTATACAAAGCTACTGACGTGGTTCCTTAAGTAATGTTTCTTTGAATACTGAAAATCTTAGGCAGTGAGTAAACTTAGGATAAGGGAAGCAGTCTTCAATTCCTCCAAGGTAAAGGGACTGCCCGTATCATATGGGTCTTTGCAGTTGCAAAGATTAGTTGTTAGAAATTTTTAGTATATAGCAGGAAATCTGGGTAATGAAATGTTTCTTTGAGAGGAAAGTGTGGTGGGAGTTGAACTGTTCACAGTGCTTGTTTTTGTCTTAATGATGAGTAGCTTCTGAAGGGCACTCTGGAAGACTCCAACTAACTGAATTTTTTTTTTTGTGGGATATCCTGGTTTGGCACAGAAACGGGGAACTAAGGAAATATAAAAGATGACCATCATCTAAGCTTCTGGGATTTCCTTTCTAGGTAACACACCAAAATTTCCCAGTGTCTAAAGTGCCCAACAACACGACCTGCACAAAGCAGTCGGGTGTTCCTTTTCCGGAGTTACAGCAGGCTCTCTCTGCTAGCGAGAGGCAGTGCGTAGAGACAGTTGTCAACATGGGATATTCACCTGAGAATGTCCTGAAAGCCATGAAGAAGAAGGGGCAAAACATAGACCAGGTAAGAGCTTGCACGGGGAAAAAAGAACCTTCAAGTTCTGATTCTGCTGAGACGCAGCCTTGGCTTTGCAAAATGGAGGAGGTGGGAATGCTTTAACAGTGGTTTTGCAGAACTACAGAGAACTTGTCACCTTCTCAGAAAAAGTTTCCAAAACCAAAGATGCCTTTCCCTGGAGGTCTGCTCTTGTGGCTTACTGGAGCCAGAAAAGGCTCTCCAAGGCAGTACTGACCGACTTTCTTTGTGTGCTCTGACTGTGGTGCTTCTTGCCTTGTGTTGCCTGAAACACTTGCTAAAACCGGGTCACACACAGAGCATAAAGCTCAGTGGATTGAAGTGTGGCTCTGGGTCTTGGATCACCTTCAAACAAAGAAACATTTTGAAGCAAGAGGAGTGTGGCTAGACTTTGTGTGCTGGCCTTGTGCTCCCTGTGCATTGTGCGGAACATTACAGAGGAATTCCTCCACCCAAGATAGCTTCTGCTCTGTGTAGGATTTGGCATCTTGTAGATCTGCTTTGCTTGCCCACTGTCTGTGAACTGAGCCGTGTAAGAAGCTGTAGTGCCAAACAGAAGAACGTCCACCTGTAGGGCAGTTTTAGATCCTGCTGTATTTGCATGCTGCTTTCTCTCTTGTTCTTAGTGCTGCCTTTTTCCTACCTGACTTTCTGCCCCTACCTCTCAAAGCTGAGAATGGGTAAGCACAGTGGCAGCAGTTTCTGGAAATGTGAGTAGGGATTTGCAGCTTCTTGACATGTTGAGGCATTCTTAAAAAGCTGAATGCTTCCAGGCTTCATTTCAGCTCTTCAGTTTGAGAGGAAACTAAAAGCTGACTTAGGTTGACAGCTGAACCTACAGTATCACTAAAAATATGTGTAGTATAAAAAGCACAGTTAATCTTAAATTCCTGCCCTTGCTCAGTGATTAGGAAATGGAAGATGAAGAACAAAGAAGGACAGAGGACTTGTTTCCTTTTTCTGAACTCTTACAAGTCATCTGAATACAGAGTAGGGACAGTTTTATCTTGTTCCCTGGGATGGAGTCCTGCTCTGTTCCTCTGGATGTACAGAGAGTGCTGCGAATGTCACTGTGAAATTAGCTTTTCTTTCCCTCAGGTTTTGGATTACCTGTTTGCACACGGACAGCTTTGTGAAAAGGGCTTTGATCCACTTCTTGTTGAAGCGGCTTTGGAGATGCACCAGTGTTCAGAGGAGAAGGTGAGGGCACGTTGTCCTAAACATTAGTCAGAATGCACTGTGAAAGGGAATTCCAACAGTAGTTCCTCTAAAGTGATGAATGTAATTCTAGCTTCATGGTAATGCTGAGCTGCTTTCAGAACTACCTACCAAAGAATATCCAGGTGGTGATGTGCGTTGATGTGTTACAGTTCTTCATTGCTGTATTTACCATTACTTGCATGCATTTTTATGGGAAGATTTTTTTAAAGACACAGGTTATTTTGGTTGCAGTGTTTTGAATAAAGTGTCCTCTTTTGGCAAAGTGCTTGGTTCGGAGACAGTTAATTTCGGAAGTAGCAAATTATTTCCAAAACCCTGCCAGCTTCTCCTGGCTATGAGTTTCCTCTGTTGTATAAATGCATCTGCCTGGCTGCTCAGCTAATTGAGCTAGGTATCTGTCTGAAACAAGCTGGAAAGTACAGTTTCTGTGGGCCTGGTTTATGCTGTGTGTGTACTTTAGAGGCACTGAAGTTACAAGGGCAGGAACAGATAGGTAGCCAGGGCAGAGGATGGGGGAATGGCTTTTCAGTGTATGCCAAGCTGTTGTGTGCAGAGCCATTACAGGAAATCTTAAGAGGTGCTGTCTTGTCCCCACAAATGTTCACAGCTACTTATGAGCTTGTAAACAGAAACAGTATGAAGATAAGAGAAATGACTGTTTATAAAACAGATTTGCTAGAAGCTTAACCCTCCCACTCCTCACCCTCTGCAAATTGGAAATAACTAGTTTCCTGATTGTTCATTTTAGTGTGTTTTTCCCCTCTGGAGTGGAGGCAATGCAGGTAGCAGAATGTTCATAGGAGTTTAAGTTGTTTTGCTACTTGTCACTATTTTTCAGAGCTCAGTTAGGATTTGTTTGATGTTGGTAGCTTAGCACACTGTGTTAAAAGGACTCTGGTAATATCCCAGTTTTACCCTGGATTTGGAAGAGCCATTTGATAGCAAAGGCTGTTTTATCATTGTGAAGTCAGAATAGCTTGAAAAAATTGCAGTAGCAGTGGGAGTTGCTGGATGAAGAACAGGGAAACATTGATCTGGGTGTCTGAATTGGGTCAGGCTGATGAGTTTGTTTACTAAGAGGCACACTCCCACAGATTAAGCCTTGGTACCTGTGTTGAAGAAGACTTGGAAATTCAGAACTGCAAATGTTGGAAATTGAAAATGAGGCTCAGTGGTTTGCTGCATAGAGAGACAGAGCTCTGCCAGGCTGGATGGACTGGGTAACATGGTATAGTGGGAGTCATCCCTGCCCATAGCTGGGAGTTGGAACTGGGTGGTCCCAGAGGTCTTGTCCAGCCCAAACCACTCTGTGATTCTGTGACCGTCATGGGAGTAGACTTTTCTTCCAATTGAACTTGTAGGGCTGTACTTAGGGAGTGGGACCTGACCCGATGGAGTGTCTGCTTGCTGTTGACTGTCTTTGTGCTAAATTCCAGATCTGACAAAGACTGAGCACTGATCCTCTGTTTTTCTTGCAAATAATTGTCTGTCTCTTTCAGATCACAGAACTTCTCCAACTTATGAGTCAATTTAAAGAAATGGGCTTTGAACTAAAGGACATTAAGGAGGTCTTATTATTACATAACAATGACCAGCAGAATGCTTTGGAAGATCTAATGGCCCGTGCAGAAGCCAGCTGAAGCACATTCCTGAGTTCTTGGCGTGCAATGGAACAGCCCCACCACCTTCACGTTCAGTGTGACTTGCTCTCAGCAAGGAGTCCAGTTTTTTGCATACATGGGAAAGTGAATGAGCAAGCCTGCCTGCGTGCATCACTCCAGCATTTCTCTTTTCACTGGGAGCCAACTTTCTTTCTTAAATTAAATTTTTGAAGTGTCCTTTCCTAAGTTTCCTTTTTCCAGCTTGGCCACGGAGATTTTAGACTGCCCAGCTGCTCTACTGGAATTGTACATAGTCAGAGACAGGAGTGGTCCTCCTCACTGTTGCACTGGAGTTGGACAGGGGATTACTAAATTTGTTCTGAAACATATAATGCTTTGGTTCTTTGAAGCTGCTTTCTTGGTGTCTGCTTGTACTGAATTACTTGACTGTGTCACAGTCCAGATTATCTGGTTAAATCTGACCGTTAGTGCAATGGAGTTTTATTTTTTGATTGAGAGTTAGTCTGTAACTTAGTGAAACACTGGTTTGGAAACTGTCGCCATGCATAAAGAGAGAAGCTGTTCCTCTTGTTTCTTCTTTGACTCATGCATCCAACACTTCTGCAGACGTAAGTGTCCTATGCCAAGTGGTTATAAGTTCTCTTGAAATATAACCCAGACCTGCAATTTGTGGTGGTTCTTGAACCTGAAGGCAGAGAGCTGGGGCTCAGTATTCTTAATCCCCCTGGCTTGTACGATGTTTAAGAAAATGCTCTGCTAGGAAATCAGTTATCTTTTGTTCTAAATAATATTCAGTGTGATGCAGGAGGTTTCTTTCAAGCACTTTCTTTAAAATAAACATACTTGCTGCGTTAGTTCCATTTTTCACACTGCTGTAGAATTACATAGTAACACCTAGTACTAGAAATCAGGTAGTCATAGAATCATAAGATAAGAATTGGAAGGGACCTCTGGAGATAGAGTAACTGCTTGCTGAAGCAGGTTCCCTCCAGTAACTTGCATGGGAATATGTCCAGGTGGGTTTTGAAATCTCCAGAGAAGGAGACTCCACCTCTCTGTGCAGCCTATCCCAGTGCTCTTGCTTACTCTTACATACTCTTAAATAAACCCTTGTGGAATCTATCCAAAAACAAAATGTCCATTTCCTCAGAAAAACGTGGAAGCATAGAAAGCATGTTTTGAAGGGGCTTCTCCTGCACTAGCTGTTTAATAAGCAAGAAAAAATTCTATCACTTCTGTTCTTACTCAGTTTTCCAGAAGGCAAATCCTTTCAATGAGCATCAGAGTAACTTGCAAGAAGCTGAAGTTCCAGAGATACAAGCATCAGCTCTGCACTTTATCCTGGAGTTCCAGTGCTGCCTCTTATTTCAGTCCAGTCAGATGATGTCAGGAGCACTGCCTCTGCTGCTGGTTTTAACTTCTCTCTTGTTCCTTCTGGAGGACCTGCTGGAAGAGCTAATGTGCATACTGCTCTTGAGGTGACTGGTTGGTGTTGATGTTGCCAACCATGTTGCTTGCTAAAGTTGATGCGAGATTATCTAAAAACACAGGAGGATAACACTGAATCATCTGGGACTGGTGGAAAGAAATCCAACCTTACCACATCTGAGGAAATGCTGAATATTGGAATGGCATGGGATAGTCTGTTAACAGCTGAGGAATTACAGCAGTGTCAACTCTGACAGATGATGGCTGATGCACAAGAACCCTCTTGGTTGGGCTTCTTGTGTTTCCAACAAGAGTATGTGCGTCATTTTGGCAGAAGGATCTTCTCAATTTCATCCAAAGAGTTTTTAGTTGTTCTCCTTGTTTTCCTCATTGCCCCCCCTCTTGAAACATGGTTTTCTAACAGCACTGGATTTTTCTGTTTTGGTGCACTGTGGACTTCAGATTATCACATCACCTTTTTTAGGCCTTGTGGAACCATCTTGGTGTTTAATCCTGAACATTCATCAAGGATTTCCACGAAAAGCCCATCTACTATTAGGCTCTCATAAGATGCCTTTTTGTTCCAGATGGAATGGATCCAGGTGGGCAGCTTATCGAATCATTCGTTTGAAGATGAAGAGTAGCATCAAAACATTGCAGCTGTGTGTGATCAACAGCCTGGCATGGGATTGTCAGTCTCATTTTTCACAGAGGGCACATCAGAGATAATTGTAGACTGGCAGTTTCACTGTTGGGATCCGTACTTAGTTTTTCTCTAATTAGTGCTCTAGAATTATAAGGGTTCTGGATATCTTTCACTTTTAACCTCTGCAAAAGCATAGCTGTAGTGAGCAGACAAATGAGAAACACAGACATGGAGTAATTCTTTCCAATTTCAGAAGCCCAGGAAATAGAAAGCTATTCTGGCACTGCAGATGACAGCCTAATTGGAGATGTTGTATTCAAGGGGCATCCAGATTCCTTCTGTTTAATTCCGTTTGGTGGTTGTGGAGTGTATTCAGCAATGGAAACAGCTTCCTCTTTACTTCAATGCACAAACTGTTAGGGCAGTTATCTTCTTGAGGGCAGTTTGTTTCTGCTTGGCATAGTCTTAGCTGAACTTGGACTTTTTAATCTCTTTTGTCCCCCTGGCAAGAAGACCCTGCAAACACAGATTTTTTCTGACCTGCTGAGATGTAAAGGAAAGAGGGGAAAAAAACTTATCTTGGAACCTCTGAATACTGCTCTGTACTAAACTTACAGGCTTATTGAGTAGTAGTACATCAAGCACATTCAAAAAAGGCAGGTTTTTCAGCTGGATGTCGGGATGGATGGGTGGGATGGAAGGGGATGGCTCTGCATCTCAAAGTGAGCGTTAGTGTCTTGCAGGAGCACAAAAGTGCCAGACAAAGGAAAGTGAGATGTGACCAAAGTAGAAGGCAGTATGTGAATCGCAGCAGTATCCCGCCCAGGCTCTATGGGTGAGGGACATCCACATGAAAAACAGCAGGCTTTATAGCTGATAAATCCAGAGGTCCTTTGATTGTCCATGGTACCTACATCTGTAGAGTTCATAGAATCATAAGGATTGGAAGGAACCTCTGGAGGTCATCTGGTCCTGCCCCCTGCTAAAGCAGGTTCCCTAAGTAGATTGCACAGGCAAGTGTTCATATAGGTCTTGAGTATCTGCAGAGGAGGAGACACCACAACTTCTCTGGCAGCCCGTTCCAGTGCTCCATTACCCTCGCAGTAAGAAAGTTCTTTCGCATGTTGGTATGTATGAAACTTCCTGTGTTCCTGTTCAGTCTCATTGCCCCTTTTCCTGTCACTGGGAACCACCAAAAAGAGCCTGCTCCCATCCACTTGACACCTGCTCATAGATATTTATAAGCATTGATCCCCCCCTCAGTCTTCTCCAGGCTGAACAGCCCCAGCTCTCAGCTTTTCCTCATACAGGAGATTTTCCTCATACAGGAGATGCTCCTATCCACAGCCATCCCTGTGGCCCTCCACTGGACTCTCTGGATAGTTCCCTGTCTTGAACAGGGCACAGTTCTCTAGGTGTTGCCTAACCAGGACAGAAAGGAGGAGGATCACCTCCCTCAACCTGCTGGCCACACTTTTTAATGCACCCCAGAATACCATTGGCCTTCTTGGCTACGGGGGCGCACTGCTGGATCATGGCCTACCTGTCATCCACCAGGTCCTTCTCTGCAGAGCTCCTCTCCAGCAGGTCTCCTAGCCTGTACTGATGCAGGTTAGTCCTCACCAGGTGTAGGACCTACTCTCGCTCTTGTTGAATCTCATCAGGTTCCTCTCCGCCCAACTCCCAGCCTGTCCAGGTCTCTCTGAATTGCAGCACAGCCTTCAGACATGTCAGCCGCTCCTCCTGGCTTTATATCATCAGCAGATTTGCTGAGGGTGGACTCCATCCCTTCGTGCAGGCTACTGATGAAGATGTTGAACAGGACTGGAATGAGCACCAGTTCCTGGGGAGCACCAGCAGGTCCTGGAGTTTTATTTGAACTGCTGGGCTGCAGCTGCTCTTCAGTAAGTGCAGAGCCCTCATCAGGAGGTCATCTTGGTCTGCTTTTATTATGCCCAACAGAGCCCAACAACTCTTGTAGTTCAGAAATATAGGAACTTTATATAGTATTCTGCAGCTCCTTGAAATCTGCAATCTTCTATGCACTGATAGCACCAAGTATCATGCTGTGCATTGTTCAAGTTCTAAATGCGTAAAATATCAGCAGTTATTGAGGCATCGTTAATTTGCTGATTCTGCAGAAGAATAATTAATAAAACCCTCAGATATGACTCCCAGCGTCATGGTTCCCATCGCTCATGCTCTTTGACTTCAGCTGATGAAGAACTTGCTGGATATTACAAGCCCTGGGCCTGCTTTCTCCTCTAGGCATGCATGGATGTGGTCTGCTTTGGGCAGAGCTACCAGAGGTCTCCAGAGAGGTGGATGCAGAGGTAGAAGGTGCTTCTTTTTTCTGTGGCTTATTTTTGTTCTATTTAAGACAAAAACAAAAACAAACAAAAAAAAAAAACAAAAAAAACAAACAACAAAAAAAAAAAAAAACCAACCAAACAAAAAAAACACACACAAAAAAACAAAAAACAAGAAGCTTGGGGATCAAAACTCATGTTAGAACATGGAGCTGGGAGAATTGGACTCTGGGAAGGGAAGACAGCCCAGCTCCTTACCTCAATTCATGTTTTTCAATAGTAAGTTTTTTAGTTCGTCAGGACTCTGAAGGGGATTGCATTGATTTCCATTATTTTATTAAAATACATCCAAAACATCTCATCTGGTGTCAGTGTTAGCTCCTGGAATTCTCCTATGAGGTGCACGACATTAATTACCTTTATTTAAAACAGAATGATGTTAAAATGTAGCTGGCAAGCATCCAGGAGATCTGGGGATAGATGGTGAGCAGGACTAGGGCAGGCTTCCAATGGACTGTATGCTGTAACACTGAGCCTCACCTCGCCAGCTTCCAGTGATGGGACTAAGGTCAAAACTTGTGTAAGAAAGGCATTCCAGCCTGTAAGGCAACAATTAATTTCTGGTTTGGAGCTGGCCCTCTGGGTTCAGGTAAAGTAGGTGCCCAGCTCTGCTTCCCTGATGCAAAATAGGAGTTTGAAACATGAAAATAGGGTTCCTGATAAGTGAGAAAAGCTGGAAAGTAGAAAAAAGAAGTGTTTACCGTTACTGCTATGAGCAGTTTGTTGTGTTGCTTGTTTAGCTTCTCACACCTAATTCTGAACAGGTTCCTGTCTGGCAGTAGACAGTCCTGAACAGGCAAGAACCGTTGCCAGTGAAGAAGCAAAGTATTTAGATCAAACCTCTGAATAAAGTCATCTTTCTAGTTAACGTGTGTTAAGTTCTTTTCACAGTTGCTGGAACCACGCTGTAATAACCTCTTTGCTTATAGAGGTTGTTTTTAAAAGTGAGAATGGAGGTATCAATCCGTGGTAGTGAAAGATGGAAAGTGATACTTACGAAGCCCTTGTTACTTACAAAGTCTCTTGTTATCCAAGAGGAATGCCAGTGGGTGTTTTCCCTGCAGCGTTGCTCTTGCATCTGTAGTGAGTTTTCTGGATTTTGCATCATGGGGTGGCTGAAGCTGGGAGTGTGTTCTTGAGATGGCTGATGGGGAATGAAGCCATGGAGTGGTGGGGATCAACCAAGTGCGGTAGGGGAAAGGTGCTTCTAAAGAAATGGCATAATGTGATGAGATTTGGATGTCTTGGGCACCGTGCATCATTAGTTACTCTGGTACTGTTATGAACAAAGCTCGGTGTGGAAGTGTTGGGTTGAGGCTGGGTCTCTGAGATCAGCAGATTGATTCACATGCCTGGTAAATGGCTTTCGGTGTTGTAACTTTGTCAGAGGTTGTTCTGCCTTTTGTGCTAG